CTAAAGTAATCAGAGCCAGACAGTGTCACACAGTTCCAAGTTTTGACTCTTTCCTTTCTGCCTGTTTTCTCCTGGGTCTGATTTGACAGCATCGAGTAGCAGTGCTGCTGTGGAGCTGCTGTTCTAAAAGAAAGGGCCTAGTTTTCAGTTGGCAACACACACAGACTACTGCCAAAAGGCCTAATACTTAAAATTTTAATTTTGCTGATGATTTTTAATCTGTCATCTAGAAAATACTTTGGCAGGCATAGTGCCAGGAAGGCAAGCCAATTCTGAAACAACACTTGGGAGAAGGTGGGGGATCGACTAAGAATTATACGTAGCATGACGCCTGGAATTTAGGGAGAGGCCAGACTCAAGGGATAAGCCTGGGTGGAGAGGATCCCATACAGGAAAGTGCAAGGTCATTTCCCATGTCCCAAGGGGAGGATTCCAGAGGAAGAAGCTGCATTCCTAGTGTGTTCCCCCCCACCCCCCTGAACTTCCTTTGACTTATTGTCCCTTCCCCGAAATCTTTTTTTTAAGCTCTTTCTTTCATGCCTTCCCCATTAATTAGATTTTATTGCACTTTCTGATGGTATTTTTTAAGTTAGCCTAAGTGCTGAGGAAGACTTTGCAAATGCAACAAAGTATTTAATTACCAGTTCTTAAAATTGGTTTAGCAGAATTTATATTTCCTTCTACCTTTTTTATTTGTGTAAAAGAAAAGGTATTGAGACATTTTTTAATGATATTTTTGATAAATTATGTTTGCACTGGTTAATGATGAAGGGTTTTTTTAAATAACTTGTTTGTATAATTCAGCAGACACCAAATATTTTTATATATTAAAACACCAAATTTACATACAGCATGAATCATTGATCAACATACTATACTTATTTTCCAATAAAGTTGTCAAACCTTGTATTGAGTATTATCACTGAAAATCTCTTTCTTTGCCTGCCCTCCTCACAGCTTGCCTGCAGACTCCCAGGCCTGATGCAGGGTGAGGACCTCTTCTACAGAAAGTTCTTTGGGGGCAGGGGGAGGAGGAGGGGAGTGGAGCTTAGAAGCCACTGGTCAAACAGTGAGCCCTGACTCCCAGCATGTGGCCGCAGCTGTATCCAACTGTTCGCTTGATTCGAAAATGGATTCAAATATCTTATTATTAACCCTTTACCTGTCCAAAAAACAAGGGCAATGTTTATATAGACTTTTACATTTTACAAAAGGCTTCCATTTATTTTCTCCTTTGACCTAGGAGGTGGGCAGAATTGAAAAACCGGGTGTCCTAAATGCATGCTCTAAAGCTGGTAAACTCTGAAAGTCAGAGAGCCCTTCACAGCTGGTCAGTGCCTCCTTGTTCTGACCTCACAGCAATTCCAGTGGGCAGGTGGCTCTGTCAGTACCTGGGGAGACTGGGAAGTGGCAGGGAGGTGGCAGATCAGCTTAGAGTCTGAGAGAGACCACTATAAATGCTGCCTTCACCATCTACCTGGTGTGAAACCCTAGACCACCTGAGCTCCAGTATCCTCACCTGTAAAACAGGTATGATACCTAACTCTAGACTCATAGGATCCTGTTGAGTTCTCCAGAGCTGCGCCAAAGCTTGTCTTTCTTGGGACCTTTGACTTGGAGATGATCCCGAGTGTCCTCTGGTTTATGCTTCTGCGTCTGGGAGGGCTGCACTAACGCCATTCCGCGGACTGCGCTGGTTTTCCTTTTATTCAACAAGTCCCGAGGATGAGGATCCTCGGACGTCTGCAGTGACAGCGCATTGCGTGTTGCACGGCCCATGTGCAAACCCACTTCTGCTTTTGCCCGTGCGGTGAATCCTGCTGCGGCTGCCACTCCGTTGTCTCTCCTCAGCCATCGTACATCACTTGTCCTGCTTTGCCTGAGACTCAGAGTGTGAAGCAACAAAACCCTTATCCTCTGAAGGATATTACTGTGGGAAAAAATCAGGGATTTTCAGGTCAGCCCGGTGGCGCACTGCTACAGTGCACCGCTTGGGAAGCGTGGTGGCGCTCCTGCCGAGGGTTCGGATCCCACATACAGACCGGTTCCTGCTCACTGGCTGAGCGAGGCGCGGGAGCAACACTGAGGGTTGCGATCCCGTTGCCGGTCCCTGGTCCGGTACGGGGGCAACACTGAGGGTTGCGATCCATTGCCGGTCACAAAAAAAAAAAAAATCAGGGATTTTCTAATACAGTTGAAGGTGCGCCTACGCAATGATCCTGCACTCACAGGATCCTGAATTCCACTCACTACACAATCTGTCAAATGCACACAAGAGGACATTACAAGAATCTTCACAGCCGCACTGCTTTGAAGAGGAAAATACAAATTTAGAACAACCACAATGTCCAAAGGAGATGAACACATAAATTGAAGTATATTCATGCAATAGAATACTATACGGTAGTGATCTTGAATTAAATAGAACACTTCTCAAAATGTTTTAATGTCATGAATATAATGTTGAGTGAAAAAAGGGCAAGTTACTTAAGTATACAGTATAATACTCTTTATATGAACACTAAAAAAACCCTACACGAGAATACCTTAAATTGCTTAAGGAATACACACACACATACACAGCAACTGATAAGCACCAAATTTAGGACAGTGAGTTTGGGGTGTGGGAGGGATACGTACAGGAAGCTTGGTGCTTACTATTTCCGAGGTTGGGTCTTGCTTACATGACTTATGACTTGTTATGAATTATTTAGTTCTTGAATATTGCATGATCCACATTTTAGAAGAAAATTTCAAAAGTGAAAAGCAGAGAGGAAAAATAAAGTAATTAAATTCAGGAAGTTTCAGCATAACGCAGCATTTCATGGCCATAACAGCAAAGCTGAACTTGTCCACCTGGGACCTCTGTAAATGAGTTTAGTTTGAATTTTTTCTTTCCTCTTTCTCCTTAGCAAACAATGCTATCCAGTTTCTCCAACTTTTCAAGGTAATTGAGAATCTGCAGTAATGTTATGGCTTCCTGTTGTTTTTAATCGCAGAGTTTACAATCTCCAAATCAGTTCTGCCTTCAAAGCCAGGTGGTTCGTTCTCCATGTATGAGGAAATGCATTTGACAGAGACCACCCCAGAAGTGTGTGTCAGTCAGGTCCACAGAATCAGTAGCAAACTGCAGTGTCAGAAATGTTTCATAAGAGTAAGGCACTGCAAGGGCCCTGTGATGGCCCGACTTAACTCCATAAGCTTTGGTGCAGCTATATCAAATGAACTTGGTACACATGTCGGTCCTCAAACTATAGAAACAAGATGGGACACAAATGCATCTATTCATGAGGTGGAAGTGGAAAAAAGATAGCATAGATAAAAAGATTTAGAAATCACATTCAACACTGCTCACAGCAATAGTTGTGTATGTGAATCACATGACATTTTCTATAGTAATACCTCTGCTGTGTTTTGGCTGAGGACATTAACCCTGAAAAGTGTACATGTACAGAGGAACCTCACGTGCTGATGTTAGAGGAAAGCAGTAAAGTAGTAAAGATCTCCATCTATAGCATAACAAAGAGGTCTTTAAGGTGTGGGAGCCCTAAGCATCCCTGAGAGACCCTTCAAAGAGATCTGTGAAATCAAAACTATTTTCTTTATAATCCTAAGACCTTACTTGATTTTTTATTCTCATTCTTCCACTAGTGTATGGTGAACTTTTTGGGAGACTACGTGATACATTATATCGTAAGATATTGAGTGTAAAAGCAGATACGTGAATCCAGCCACCCCCTATTAAGCTGGACATTAAAGAGATTTGCAAACATGAAGAACAATGCCACTTTTGTCAATAAGTCTGTTTTGGAAAGTAGTTATTTTTCATAAAATGTATGACATTTATGTTAACACGTACTGGGTTTATTGTTGTTTAAAATAATTAATAGAGTAAATGTTTAAAAATTCTTCTTTTTGATTTCTAAGGCAGTGATGCAGACAGGCACACCACCGGTTGCAGGAAGCTTTGCTGCCAGTGCGGTTCCTGCATTTCTCTCTGCTCCTTTGACCTCCCTCTAATCCCACAAAGGCAGCCAGGAATACTTTGGCCAAAAATCTGTTGAATGGAGATTACATTTTATATCCTTTTCTATGTCTCAGTGCCCTGTGGGATATCTCTGGGGTGTCTCCTGATGGCCAGGGTGACAGGTCCCTGTTGATATGGTCCTATTGGGAATTTTAGGCAGCAATAGTCTTCGGTAGTTGAGGATCACTGCCTTGGGTTGAACGTCCCCCCAAAACTTAATCTCTATTGTAACTGTTGAGGGTGGAAATCCTATTACAGTAATGGAAAGGTGGAGCCTTGAAGAGGTGATTAGATTGCAGGACCGTGCAGTAGTGAGTGGATTAATAATGGTGGTCAGGGGTGTGGTTCAGGGTGTGGTTTTGAGGGCATTAAAAGAAGAGCCCATGAGAGGTTAGCCTGTCCCTCTGCTCCGCCATTTTCTGACATGTGAGACTCCTGGGTCACGGTGGCCACCACCAAGGCCTTCCCCAAATGTGTTCCCTGGACTTTGGACTCCCAGCCTCTGAAACATAAGCAATAAATTTTGTTTTCTTTGTAAATTACCCAGTTCCCAGTAGTTTGTCATAACAGAAACAGACTAACACCATCGCCATGGGCTGTCTGACCCACAGAAGTGAATGAACATGACTCAGGCGGATTAATAATGTGCCTTAGAAGCCGTTTGGGATGGCTTCCATTTTGGGGGGGTTCCATATAGGCCAATGCAAGGCGTGTAAAAGCTGCTCAAAGGGGACTTGGAAACGAATGAATAATTTATTTGTAGGAACAGCTCGGAACAGAACTAAGCAGAAATCCCTGGTGATGAGGGACTCGTCAGCTGCCAATCAGGCAAAAAGACTTTCAACCCACTTCCTAGAGGGATGCCACGTTCCTTGCTACGGTCCCCTGGTGAAGCCAGGTCTGTCCTGCCCACGGTGGCGAGGAGGTCCCAGGCAGGCGATGCGGTGGCCGGGCAGGCTCGGGTCCTGCCGGGATGTCCGCTCTGCACCGGCTCTGCCCGCTGCAGCCTCACCCGTCGGTGGATGCCGGGTCTGGGCTGAGCCAAGCGCGGGCGGGGCGCTGACGAAAGCAGGTGACAAGGACGTGCGCCACCGGGAGGCCCGACATTCGCGGGCGGCCCCCGGACCGGCTGGGCGACCTCTGCCTTCGGGCGGG